ACTTGAATAGAAAGAGTTAAAAATGAAATGCATAAATCGTATTCAGTGAATGCGTTTTATTAGTGAAATTCTATGTCATCTTATTTATTGATTAAATTACTAAATTACCCATTTCGTTTAATTTTATTTATCCACAATTTAAAAAATATATTTATTGATTTTATTTATTACTTTTATAATATCAAGAAAAGATAAATATTTTATCTTTTAAAATATCGTCATGTCGTTGATAACATGAAAAATCCCTTCTCAAATATTCAAATAGAAAGAGCTGAGAATGAAAGTAAACATAAAAAGGAAAACAACAATCTAACTAAAAACATAAAAAAGAAAATAATAATCTAACTAAAACATTAAAACGTACACGATAATTTAATAAAGACATATTTTCACACTTACTGCTCTCACCTTCCCATATTTCCACATTTACTGCTCTCACCTTCTCGTGTTACTGTGTCGGACCTTGCCCTGCCTTGCCATCGCCGGATCTTCTTATGATTTGTCCTCTTTTTTGTGGTTTTTTTTTTGTGCAATCTTTCATTTCTATGAATTTTCTTGTTTAAACTAGTTATCGTTAGTCTGGCATAAAACGAATTTCGCAAATGCGATTTATGAGTAATTCTGTGTCTTTTTATTTATTGTTGAAATTACTATATTACCCCTTCCGTTTGATTTTATTTGTCCACTATTTTAAAAATATATTAATTAATTTCATTTATTACTTTTATAGTATCAAGAAAAAAAAAATTATTTTCTATTTTAAAAAAATGTCATGTCGTTGAAATTTAAAAAACCCTTCTAATAAGGTTGAATAGAAAGTGTTAAGAATGAAAGGCATAAATCGCATTCAGCGAATGTGTTTTATGATTAAAATTCTATGTCTTCTTGTTTATTGATAAATCACTAAATTACCACTTCCGTTTAATTTTATTTGTTCACTATTTTAAAAATATATTTATTAATTTTATTTTTTACTTTTATAATATCAAGAAAAGATAAATATTTAATATTTTTTTAAAATGTCATATTGTTGAAAACATGAAAAACCCTTCTCAAACACCTAAATAGAAAGAGCTGAGAAAGAAAGACATATAACGAATTCAGCGAATGCGATTTATGAGTAAAATTCAGTTACTTCTTATTTATTGTTGAAATTACTATATTACCCCTTCTGTTTGATTTTATTTGTCCACTATTTTTAAAATATATTTATTCATTTCATCTATTACTTTTATAATATCAAGAAAAGATAATTATTTTACTTTTAAAAAATCGTCATGTGGTTGAAAACTTAAAAAAACCCTTATCAGATACCTAAATAGAAAGAGTTAAGAATGAAAGTAAACATAAAAAGGAAAACAACAATCTAACTAAAAACATAAAAAAGAAAATAATAATCTAACTAAAACATTAAAAGGTACACAATAATCTAATAAAGACATATTTCCACACCTACTGCTCTCACCTTCCCGTGTTACTGTGCTTACTGCTTTCACCTTCCCGTGTTACTGTGTCTGACCTTTCCCTGCCTTGCCATAGCCGAAGCTTCTTTCGGTCTATCCTCTTTTTTGTGGATTTTTTTTTCCGCAATCTTTCATTTCTATGAATTTTCTTGTTTAAACTAGTTATCGTCAATCTGGCATAAAACGCATTCCTCGAATGCGATTTATGAGTAATTCTGTGTCTTCTTATTTATTGTTGAAATTACTATAATACCCCTTCCATTTGATTTGATTTATCCACTATTTTAAAAATATATTAATTAATTTAATTTATTACTTTTATACTATCAAGAAAAGATAATTATTTTCTCATTTAAAAAATTGTCATGTCGTTGAAATTTTAAAAACCTTTCTAATAAACTTGAATAGAAAGAGTTAAGAATGAAAGGCATAAAACTCATTCAGCGAATGCAATTTATGAGGTGTTTCTTATTTATTGTTGAAATTTCTTTATTACCCCTTCCGTTTGATTTTATTTAACCACTATTTTTAAAATATATTAATTAATTTCATTTATTACTTTTATAATATCAAGAAAAGTTAATTATTTTATCTTTTAAAAAAACATCATGTCGTTGAAACTTTAAAAACCCTTCTAATAAACTTGAATAGAAAAAGTTAAGAATGAAAGTCATAAATCGCATTCAGCGAATGTGTTTTATGAGGAAAATTCTATTTCTTCTTATTTATTGTTGAAATTACTATATTACCCCTTCTGTTTGATTTAATTTGCCCATTTTAAAATTTTTTTTAATTAATTTCATTTATTATTTTTATAATATCAATAAAAAATAATTATTTTATCTTTTAAAAAACTCTCATGTCGTTGAAACTTTAAAAACCCTTCTAATAACTTGAATAGAAAGAGTTAAGAATGAAAGGCATAAATCGCATTCAACGAATGCTTTTTATGAGTAAAATTTTATATCTTCTTATTTATTGATGAAATTACTAAATTACCTCTTCCGTTTAATTTTATTTGTCCACTATTTTAAAAATATATTTATTACTTTTATAATATCAAGAAAAAATAAATATTTTATCTTTTAAAAGTGGTCATGACGTTTAAAACTTGAAAAAACTCTTCTTAAATGCCTAAATAGAAAGAGCTGAAAAAGTAAGGCATAAAACGCATTCAACAAATGCGATTTATGGGTAAAATTCTGTTACTTCTTATTTATTGTTGAAATTACTATATTACCCCTTCCGTTTGATTTTATTTGTCCACTATTTTAAAAATATATTTGTTCATTTCATATATTACTTTTATAATATCAAGAAAAGATAATTATTTTATCTTTTAAAAAAAGGTCATGTGGTTGAAAACTTGAAAAAACCCTTCTCAAATACCTAAATAGAAAGAGTTGAGAATGAAAGGCATAAAACTCATTCAACGAATGCGATTTATGAGTAAAATTCCGTGTCTTTTTAATTATTGTTGAAATTTCTTTATTACCCCTTCCGTTTAATTTTATTTGTCCACTTTTTTAAAAATATATTAATTAATTTAATTTATTACTTTTATAATATCAAGAAAAGATAATTATTTAATCTTTAAAAAAACCTTCATGTCGTTGAAACTTTAAAAACCCTTCTAATTAACTTGAATAGAAAGAGTTAAGAGTAAAAGGTGTAAATCGCATTCAGCGAATTCGTTTTATAATAAAATTCTATGTCATCTTATTTATTGATGAAATTACTAAATTACCCTTTCCGTTTAATTTTCTTTGTCCACTATTTTAAAAATATATTTATTACTTTTATAATATCAAGAAAAGATAAATATTTTATCTTTTAAAAAAGGTCATGACGTTTAAAACCTGAAAAAACCCTTCTTAAATGCCTAAATAGAAAGAGTTGAGAAAGTAAGGCATAAAACGCATTCGGAGAATGCGATTTATGTGTAAGTTTCAGTCTCTTCTTATTTATTTTTAAAATTACTTTATTACCTCTTCCATTTAATTTTATTTGTCCACTATTTTTAAAGAATATTTATTTCTTTTATTTATTACTTTTATCATATCAAGAAAATAATTATTTTTCTTTTTTATACTAACATTGATTGCATATTTTTTTGAGAATCTTCGTATCTCAATTATCCGACTTTTATCGATTTCGTGTGTATTAGCCCATGAATGTCTTTGGGGATCCCAATTTTTTTTCCAAAAAAACTATATGAAGACCTCTGTCATGAATTGGAGAATCATTACGTATTGTCCCGTCGTTTTTTTCATGAATATTTTCGCATTTATGAGCCAAGTTTTAGAAATTTCCTGACTTTCGGCATTTTTCGTGTGCATTAGCCATGCTTGAGATATGAAAATTTATGTGATAATAATTAAATTAATAAAGTGGTGGAAATATATGCAATAAAGTGGAGTTCTTGTGTAATGATAGAAAACGTATGTTACTTACTAGTTTAGTTAATGCTATTGATCTTCAGGTCGCCGGTTCGAGCCCCAGCAGGGCCACTGGAGGCATTACAAACCGGCCGCGTCTCCAGGGCCCCGTGGAACTAACCGTGGTGGACCCGCCTTGAAACAGCGGGACCCGGTGGGTACAGCTAGTCGGGTTCGCAAAGCGACGCCCGGAAACCACGGTTAAAAAAAAAAAAAAAAAAAAAAAAAAAGTTAATGCTATTGAGGGAAAAAACAAAGAGCTACATTGAAGATCACTAACAATAAATAAAACACATTATTCGAATGCGATTTATGAGTAATTTGAAATGTTTTCTAAAAAAACTACACGAGGACCTTCGTAATGAGTTGAGAAGCATAACGTATAGTCCTGTCATTGTTTTCATGCATATTTTTACATTTACGAGCAAAATATTATGAATTACCCGATTTTCACCAATTTCGTGTGTATTAGTCCCATGGATCTTGCGCCGTTTGGGCAACTGAATTTTTTTTTTTGAAAAATCTATATGAGGACATCCGTAATGAGTTGGTGAAATATTATGTATAGTCCCACCATTTTTTCACGAATATTTTCGCATTTACAAGCCAAATTTTAGACCAAATTTTAGCAATTACTCGACATTCACCGTTTTTAATATGTATTAGCCCATGCTTGAGATATGTATATTTATGTGAGAATAATTAAATTTATAAAGTGATGGAAATATATACAATAAAGTGGTTGTTCATCAAACACCGAATGAGAGATAAAAAAAAGTACTCAAGTTCAAATCTTAGTATAGAAAAATTCACGATAGAAAATACTTTCTTCCGAATAAGATCCTACACAGTGATAATAAATATATCCAGTGAAGTTTCACTAAGCGGTGGTCGCGTATTCAAATTAGTCGAACATTTGACACCTCTTATAATGAGCTATTATTGTTATCCAGATATATATTTTTCTATTCCTATTTGGTTCAACATTTGACACGTTATCGCAAATTTAGCTTTTTTTGACGTCCAAGAAATCAGTTAATACTGCCATTCTACTAAAAGGCCACTTGTTCATTTGTCACATTTTTCAAACCTTTATTTTTGTACCCCTTCACTTTACTCTTCATTGAAGAAAAAAAACCCTTTTCATATTCCCAATTTCCAATCTCAGGTTCCAATTGAAAATCCATGGAGAAAGTGTTGAACAAGGCAGTATTTTTTCCATCAATTTTGAATTCTAGTGATGTTTATCATTATAATCAACATGGGGTTTGTGTTTTTCCAATGAAATTCAATAGAAGAAATCACAAATCAGCAGCTACTACTGCTCAGGTTCATTTTCTTTTCTTTCTTGTCTTAAATATATTGTACGGTGTACATATAGGTATCAAATAACTCTGTCCATCAATTACTGATTGTTTGGAGGTTTGTTGCATGTTATGTTGTATTGTATTTAGTCTAAGACACACTGTTTATTTTCATTGTTAGTATCATATAGTTAAATCTATAAATTAGTGCTTGTTTGAATTGTTGTTACATGTTGTATTATATTGTATTGTTAAGTTTCAATACAATGTTTGTTTTGGTTGTACCTTAAATTTTATTGTATCGTATTATATCGTTAAATCTATTGTTATGGAATGTCAAAAAGTCATATTTTATCATTTATCCTGCATTTTTATAATAGTTTTATCTTGTTGTACTTCAAATGGCTGATGTGTAGCATTTATATTTATATATATAATAACGAGAAATATATAATTTATCTAAACATTGTATCCATAAAAATAATACAATTCAATATGATATATTATGAAACTATATGTAATAACCATCTAAACAAAATAATGTTCGAACAAATAGGAAGAGGGTACCTTCTGTTTTTGCCTTTGATAGGAATTAAATACGAGAATTCATGGTTCCCAATTCATCTCATTGACCACTAGGACTCACCACTGACTACCTTATCCTTATTTCAATAATGTGAGTTTTCTTATGTTAATTTTCGTTGCTCCGATTTGGGAATGAACTATCAGTCAATAAGTAAGTAAAACTATTTTGGCGTAGAAATTTTCTGGTCGAATTTAGAGCATGATTGGTTAATATTGGCTCACTCGATAGTATGTTCTTCTTTTTTTAAATTTGGCAGATTTGATATTATAGTATATAAAAAGTTCTACCTTTTCATATCGCGCTACGTAAAACAGATGAGCATAGGTATCAGGAAAGCTCCTAAATGGTGGGAGAAAGGACTTCAACCGAATATGAAAGAGGTGACGGGTGCTCAAGACCTCGTTGACACCCTTCTAAACGCTGGGGATAAACTAGTCGTTGTCGATTTCCTTTCCCCTGGCTGTGGAGGCTGCAAAGCCCTTCATCCAAAGGTAATCAATTCTTGTTGTCTAATACTACACTTTGTTGGCTGTCCATTTCAGTAATGATCTTAGTCTTGGTGAAATTGGAAAATGCAGATACGTCAGTTGGCAGAGATGAATCCGGATGTGCTGTTTTTGCATGTGAACTATGAGGAACACAAGTCAATGTGTTACTCGCTGAACGTACATGTTCTCCCATTTTTCCGTTTCTATAGAGGTGCTGAAGGTCGTCTTTGTAGCTTTAGCTGTACCAATGCCACGGTTAGTTTATGATCCACCTTATACCGCAATCTGTTAATGACATTATATGCTGCTTCCTTCTTAATTTCTGCAATATCTCCCTTTGAATTGATCTTTTGCATCTGAGCAAAGCATTCATTTGCTTCTTGTCAATGCCTTTTCCTTTTATCCTCTCTAGAATGGTATTCTAACACTAACCACGATATTCTGGTGCAGATAAAAAAATTCAAAGATGCATTGACAAAGTATGGTGCAGATTGTTGCAGCCTCGAACCAGTTAAAGGGCTCGAGGAGAAAGAGCTACTTGCCCTAGCAGCTAATAAGGACCTCTCTTTTGCTTACACACCAAAAACAGAAGAACCAGTACCTGTTGCCTTACAAGAAGTTATGGTGATAAAAACAAGCAGAACATCTTCATCTTGTCCAAATACATTCTCCCCTTTACCACTTCCCCTTCCTCTTCCTCTAGCTTCAACTTCGCATAAGGCCAAACAGGACTCAAAGAGTGAAGTTTGTTAAGATATTGGACCTTGGCTTAACGCAACTCAAAAAGCTAGAGATGAAAATTGCTCAAGACTATAAAGGAACAACAGTTCATTCCCTGAGACATTCTAACACCCTCCGTCTGGAATGGAGGGTAGACTTATCTCTAAAAGCTAGCTCATTAGTTGAGGATCGCTCGAGATCCATACGAAAAGATGACTCACCTTGGATGATTATGAGATTCATCAGTAAACTGTATTATAGAGGTTATGTATGCACAACTATCTAGTGTGTTTTTTATGTACATAATGCCGCGGGACATACTATGTATTATACTGTATATGGTTGATATACATATTTTATGTGGAACCTGGCTTTCAGATGAGTTCACTTGCCAAAAGATTTAATCCAGGGAGAGTATAAAGTATGCACAATAAAGTTACAGCTCCCAATTTTCGAATTCATAGTATAAAAATATTTCAGCAACTACAAGTATGTATCAAATGCTACAACATATCAGTAGCCAATCTTGACACTGACTACACTAAGAGAGACAAATAATAGAAACTGTGCACATTCCATTTCCAAGGAAGACATGGACCTCAATGAAACACAGCATTGAGGGAAATCCAACTAGTTTTGCATCAAGGCATAATCTGTATTGTCTTCGTTCAGACTCTCTACCTTCTCAAGGCAGTGGGAAAGAACTGCATACACTCTACACTCCCCGAAACCCCAACCTAGGGGGTAAGGTTGGCATAGACTCTACACTCGCAATCAAAGGAAGGCCTTGTTTCATCAGCCTTTATACATGGACTTCAATGAAACACAGCATTGAGGGAAATCCAATTAGGTTTGCATCAAGGCATATTCTGTATCGTCTTCGTTCAGCCTCTCTACCTTCTCAAGGCAGAGGGAAAGAACTGCATACACTCTACACTCCCCGAACCCCAACCTAGGGGGTCAAGGTTGGCATAGACTCTACACTCGCAATCAAAGGAAGGCCTTGTTTCAACAGCCTTTAGACATGACCTGCATCTACTAAAGCTTCAAACTCAATTTCCAGTTCACATGCAAGGGCTAAGTCAAGAGCAAAAATCTGTCATTTGTGACATCCAATAGCTATACTGTCACAAAGGGAAAAGAGGACAACCCAAAAGGCATAAAAGACATCAAAAGTTGGACACTTTTCAGGCAGAATCAACCAAATACAAAGCCATAGCCTCTTCCAAGTTGCACAATACAGATAAAATGACATAGTTCTACCCTGCTCCCAATCCCATAACACATACCATATCAAATTTAGATGTCCTAGAGCTGTCAAATACTATAGTCTTCCATATCTTTAAATGGATACAGTTAAAGACACAGATCAGCATATCATTGCATAGATTACATGAGTTTGTACCAGAAGACAGGTAGCGCGCTGCAAAAATGAAATATTCTTCACGCTGTTTAAAACTGGCAAAAGAATTAATATATGCTTCCGAAACAGGAACATCCCCACATAAAATAAGAGGTGTTCACAAGTAAGAAGCAACATTTCAGATCTGAATACAAAAGGCTCTGATGCTATAGCAAATTCAAATTTTTTCGAGTAAAATGTATGTTCAAACATAACTTCAAAAACTCAAATTTCAAAATCTATAGCCAAACGGAAGGTTAGATTCGAATATAACAAACTAGATCAAGAGAAATGCATGAACTCAACGGAATAGCACATAAAAATAAAAACTTTATGAAATCTGGATCTCTGTTCTTCAACAATTTGAAACAAAAATACTTAAATTACATAAAATTAAAACTTTTTTTATAGGAAAGTCCGCTCAAACCGTCATCGCCCCGATTTATTTGATAGGCTCAGATGGCGAACAGTCTTCATCGCAGTAAAGCAGGGAAAAGGGGTTCCGGAAAATTGTCCGGCGAGAAAGAGATGAACGGAGCCGCCATTAACCCTACAAATATAAGGCGGTAGCTCCTCCCCAACTACGCCGGTCACATTCTCCGTCGCCGTCTTCTCCGCCGCTCACTGCTCAGATAAGATCAAGTAGTTTTGAGGCTAAACTCAAGCTCTATCATCGTCTTAAATAGATTTTTCTGAAACCTAAAAGGTCCTAATCTCTCTGTGAATTTCCTAATATACCCTGCACAGTTGTGGAAATGAAATAAAAAGTCCAAAATAGTCCATTATCTTTAAACTTAGGTTCAAAAAATTTCTATTTCTTTTACCAAGGTACATTAATAGTCCATATTGTTTTAAATTGTGATACTCATATCAATACGAGTCATAGTGTAGTAGTAAAACTGTTAGTAGTTTTAAATAGTGTTTCTCATATCAACACAAGTTGTGGTGAGACGGTTAGTAGTTTTACATAGTAATTCTCATACCAACATGGCTTATGGCTTATGGTGTAATAGTAAAGACTGTTCCATTTTTAATCAAAGATTTTGGGGCTCCATAAACAAATGATCAGATTCCTATAGTAACCTTCTCTGAAGCTAGTATTCGTGGTATTTTCATAAATTTCCCTGTTCGACATTTTTAGACTATGTAAAACTTGTTTACAATTAATACAATGTACTATGACAAATAAACTGTAAATTTTTTCATGACAATGGTGCTATCATTATTATTTTTTAATTATTGTATATTATGTCCTTGTCATCAACTATTTTATTATATGTCGTTACTATTTATTGATAGAAACACATAAGTATAAAAAGATGCACATCACCAACAAAAACATAATACTTACAAAATTTCAACATGTCCCTAACTGCAAAATTAAATATATAAGTTTAAAGAAAAAATATAAAACGTTAACTGAAATTTAATCTCTACTAAAAAAAAAAAGCTTACTATAATTCAAGTTAGAATTGAAAAAAATCATTTTGGAAAAATATCTAAAATAGAATTAAATTGAAATTCAAAATCTTATGTCATGTATGCTTTATTAAGGGGGGTCTAAGTTCAATGAAACTATTTTTTTCTGTATTTGTTTCCAAGGGCAATTATGTCAATCTAAATATAGCAAAATAAAATGAAGCTTTAAACAGAAACTGGAATATTCTATCTGGTCTTTCAAGCCCTAATTCTCTCTTTCCCTCTCTCTGTCTCTCTGTTTCTGAAGGTCAGATCTTAATTCAGTTTATTTATTTGTGTTTATGAACTCTATTACTGCTAATTGAATTTAACTGGGATTATAAAACTTAATTATTGAAGAATTAGAATCATTAAAACTTGTGTTCATTGATGGTTGGTTACCATTTGGTTAATTTTTCTAGTGATGTTTTGGTTTTGTTGTAAGGATTAAGTAGGATGAAGTTTTAAGGATTGTCATCACCTATGAGTAAAAGAAAAGTGAAAGAATTCTTGCTGTTCTTGAAAATTCTTGCTTTTTGAAAGATAAAAACTGATAAGCTATGAGTAGAAGTTGTTCAAGTATAAAATTATTGCTGTGCTCGAAGAAATCGGTCACATAAATGATTATTTTGGGTCAATTAGCTATTGAAAAGACCTATCTTGTCTGCCCCCATTTTTCGATGTGAGTGTACTTGTTCCACAACTTCAATCAATATCAATCAACTATATGTAAATCTTGAATTAGTTAGGTTCTAGTGATTTATGCTGTTTGTAGTGGAATTTCAGTAGTTAGGAAGTTATTTCAGCTATTGAATGGTGAATCTATGTAGAAAATTCCAGTGTTCTATAGATGGTTTAAGCCTGAGGGTGCAATTAAGGAATGATCCCGTCTCAGTGTTCTATAGATGATTTAAGCCTGAGGGTGCAATTAAGGAATGATCCTGGACGCAATCTAATGTACGCTAAAAAGGGATGAATATCTTAGATAAAGTTTTAAGAAATGGTATTTTTACTTTTGAATCATCAGGGAACCGTAAGTGTTTAAAATTCATTGTTTACTCATGGAAAGGGGTTTTGGTGGTGCGGTTTAACGTATTAACCAAAATGATTGTTTTTTGAAGATTTTAATGCAAAAGAATGTAACTTCAGAGCATGGTGGTCAAGTAGCATGAATATGATACATGTGGTAGATGTATGGCATGGATGATATATCTTTAGGTTTAGGACAGTGTTTGAGCTACTGGCATAACTGATCAGTGAAATGTATGTGGCAATTGCATTCAATTATTTGGATGTCAAAAAGATTGTCAACTTATATGTGTGTACGATTAAAGACCTAATTAGGGCTAAGTATGAAATGAATTCTTTCCATGTTTTTTCTAAAGAAATTAGAGGTTTTGGTAACAATTTAATTCTTGTAACTCGTAATATACCTGTTTAGGCTATAGGAGTTGAGCACAAATGGCAGTAAACATGTCACATGTAGTCTTTTACTAACATCCATAGCTTCACTTTTCGGTAATAGCTGAATTTCTTGCATATTTACCTTCTCTCTTACCTGTTGATTTTCCATACTAACAAAATGAGATACAGAGGTTTAGTTTTTCCAGTAGACATTCGTGTTCTTACTTGTTGTTGACTCTAACTTTCTTTAGGAAGTGATGTTTGTGGTCAAAATGACTTAAGAGATTCTTTCATTCTGAATTCTCATAGGTCTGTCTTTTTCTTAATCCCCCTTTGCATTGTGACTAAATCCTTGTCTTGCACGTGCTTAATTGTTCTTCGGCATAACGTGACTTTGCCATGCGCTTGTGGGGATTATTTATTTCAATGACATTCATTGTTTTTATGATTCAGGTAAAAAATGACTGAGCCGTCAAAAGTCATTCATGTTCGCAACGTGGGCCAAGAGATCTCAGAGGTAGATATTTGGATAGCGTACCGATTACCTCCCATATATCCCACTTGTTCTTTCTTCACTTTATCTCTTAGATAGGCATCTGTTCGACTGAGTTAAATGCGTGATCTGTGAGCTCCCAGTATGATGCATGAACTGCATTTATTTTGCTTTACTATGTTCGAACTATTGCCCCCAGAACATTTTACTTATTGTGTTGTAGTATTTCCAAAATTGAGGTCATTCATGTAATTAACTAAAAATGTTCCGCGCACCTGATGTGCATGTAAG